CCTGTTTTAAAGGTGGTGCTGTTTTAGAGATTGGGGAACTGAGACTATAGGAAGTAAAGAAAATTTCCCAGGGTCCCAGAGTGAAGCCTTTTTTCAAAAAACTAAGTACTTTAGAACCTAATTTGACTCCAGATCTGTCGCCTTTTATTATCATAATACTGCCTTTAATCTAAAGGAGGCCAGTGAAGAAATCTTAATTTATTCTGCTGTTCAGTTTGTAAATAGTAAAGCAGACTGTTCTTATAAATGCTTTGGAAAATATTCAGACTAACTCTAGGCTTGGGGGTTTGTATTTGTTAGTGATTTATGATAGGAAAGTCATCTATTTTCTGAAGGACAGAGTATAATTTAGGATGGCTCTAATGAGGAAAAAATGGGCTAATGGAAGTAAATGTTTCTAAAACTATATGTTTATGTGAAAAATGTTTTACTGTTTTTAGTTTTAAGATTTTCCCAATTTTTTTTTTTTTTTAAAGCATACTAAATTATTTTCCTGTTTTGGTAAAGGCCAGAGTAACTTTGCTTTTACCTTTTTAAAGGACTGGAGTGGCCAACAGAAGAAGGCAAATAGATCATCAGAAAAGAATAAGAAAAAGTTTGGTGTGGAAGGTGACAAAAGGGTAACTAATGATATCTCCCCGGAGTCGTCCCCAGGAGTCGGAAGGCGAAGAACAAAGACTCCACATACGTTTCCACACAGCAGATATGTGACGCAGATGTCCGTTCCAGAGCAGGCGGAGTTAGAGAAACTTAAACAGCGGATAAACTTCAGTGACTTGGATCAGGTGTGTGGATTATTTTAAAAAAATCGAGTTATGAGTTTGGGGAATAGTTGAAATGGATTAAATACTTTGTCTTAAGAATAAGAAATTGAATGGTTTATTTGCTTTTTTCCTTTTTTTATAGTTTCTATACACATGAAAGAAATTGTATCAGTTGGTCCATGGTCATGGTGATAGTACCATCATGGAAACTGGAGGGACATGAAGTCTTAATTTCTAAACTTGCCGAAGACAAGTTTTTCTGGACTCTTATTACTCTGCTGTTTGACTAAGTTAAATGATTTTTTTATGAAACTAAATTTTTCACATTAGTAACTGAATAATATTGTATTAAGCAAATTGAAAAATCCAGTTTAGTGTATTTATCATTGGCTCAGGAGTCTCTCTTAAGTTTAGAATAAAGCTCTGGTTTGCATTTATAATCACGGATACAAAGTTTATTACTAAAAGCAAGTAGAGGTGATAAACTCTTTTCTTGACAAGTATTTTACTGTCAAATCTGTATTTTGCAGAGATAAACAGATTTTCAAATATGCATGAAGGTAGACTCAAGTCTGGTATTCTGATTGTGATGATCATATATCATTTATTCATCTGTTTACTGATTATTGAATACTTGGTATATGCCAGGCACTGACCTGAGTACTTAGACAGTTCTTCGTACAGAAACATCTTTATGCTGATGTTCATATTAAGTGGCATTGATTCATCCAGTCCCAAGCCTATAAAAATTCTGAGAACAACTAAGATTATCAATATGAGTTATAACTGTGACCCATAGTTCTGGTACTTCATTTAGACTAACCTTGTGCATATCCACGTTGTCAGGGACCAGCTGTAGACTCAGGAGTCTGCACAGCTTTCTCTCTCTGTCTCTTTTTCTCTCTCGTCCTCTGAGACTAGGGTCACAAGCTAGAAGTACTCTCTCTTCATCGGCTGCTCGTGCAGCCTTTCTCTGACCATCAGTCACACAGAGCTGCATCTATACAAACTGACTCTGTACTGCCAGCCCCTGCTGGCTCATTGCCCCCGGGTTTCCGTGAATTCTCTGTAAGAGCTCACAAAAGTTACAGACTATTACTTGTATGTAAAGTTACCCATTTATTATAACCGGAAAAGGATACACGTGAAGAGACGTATCAGGTGGTCTGGGAGTGATCCCCGCGCTAGGCTTTTGTTGTCCCCTGGGACGTGCCACACCCTCTCCCCCGCATGGATGTTCTTACCAGTTCTGGAAGCCCCCAGAAGAGAGCTCCAAGGTCCAGAGTTCCCTAGGCCTTGGGACCTCAGCAAATACGCATGACCAGCATCTTAATGCATACTTACGTCGATCCGGTCAGTGAATAGACATGACTGACCGCATCATGAACCTTCCCTTCTGAAGTTAGTTCACCAGGTGTGAGGCCTGTGTAGTCCCTACTTGCCTGGCTGTTTTGGAAAGACAAAGAGCACCGTAATTCCTCAGGCTGTTTTCAGAAAAGCAGATATAAAATGCCAGGTCTAGTTCTTTGTCCCAGAAAGTGCTAATTGAAATTTTATATTTTAGTAATAGAATTTCGTAGATCTGAAGTGCTTTCACGTGTATCAGCAAAGCTGTTCATGCCCATCTGAGTGAATACCTGATGGTGAAACTGGCTTAAGAACATGGGACTTGAAGTTTCTAACGTGCACGGGACTTGGTTTCTTTTTCTTCTATAGAGAAGCATTGGGAGTGATTCTCAAGGGAGAGCAACAGCCGCCAACAACAAACGTCAGCTGAGTGAGAACCGAAAGCCCTTCAACTTTTTGCCCATGCAGATTAACACTCACAAGAGCAGAGATGCTGCTGCAAGCCCCCCCAGGAGACAAGCAGTCGGAGCAGCACAGTGTAAAGAGTTGTTTGCTTCTGCTTTGAGTAACGACCTTTTGCAAAACTGTCAAGTCTCTGAAGAAGACGGGAGAGGAGAGCCTGCAATAGAGAGCAGCCAGGTGAGACACTTGTGGGGTTTGTTTGTTTGGACTTCGCTTTCACAAATCCCAGAATATAAACAGCTGAGATTGAAAAACGAAAATTATATTAGGTTATGTGCATAGAAAGCTCAGGTGGGGTTAAAGTCCTCGCCTGACCTTTCTCATTGATCTACTGAATTTATTCAAAGTCGAGCAAATTTCTTTTTTATCAAAAATGATGTAGAAACGGTACATTCAGGTTAATTAAGGCTTCTGTTTATCTGATATATACTGTATTGCCAATTTTTCATAAAGGAGTGTGAGACAATGTGATTGATAAATTGTAAGAATTTTTTTAAATGGTGATGTACTTTTGAAAGGGCCTTCAGAGGTATTTGCAATACTTTTAATTATTTATAAAGAAATACAAGACAAGCATTAGAAAGGAAGTCATTTAATGAGTTTAGTTTGGTATACAGGTCTATAAATAAAAATGTTCAGGTAATCTAAATTAAAATTAATTTTGAAACGTCTATTTAAATTGGCTATAATTTGGAGTTTTTTGTATTGCCAATTATGTATTGATTAACTTCTAAATTTGATTCAGATTTTCTGTATGTATGCATTTACACAATAAACCTAGAAGTATCTCTGGTTATTAGCTTTGAAATACCAAGTCTCTGTATTGCTGTGAATGAGTTAATTATGCTGTTTACGTATTTTGTGCTTTCGTGCCTTTTTTTCCTCTCTGCAGATTGTAAGCAGGCTTGTTCAAATTCGCGACTATATTTCCAAGGCTAGTTCCATGCGGGAAGATCTTGTAGAAAAAAATGAAAGATCTGCTAATGTTGAGCGCCTTACTCATCTTATAGATCACCTTAAAGAACAAGAAAAGTCATACATGAAATTTCTCCAAAAAATCCTTGTAAGTTTTAGACCTTTTTAACGACATACCGAGTCATTGTGGTTGTGTCCCAGTGTAGGGATTTTCCTCCTATATTGAGTCATAGCTCTCATGTACCAGTGTATGTGTTATACTAATGGCATTCTGATGCCACCCAGACGAGTTTACTTATTTTCAAAAAAATCGTGCCATCCATTATAACATTTATTGCCCTTTTTAATAGTTGTATGATTTATACCGCTAAAATATTTCAGGCTAGAGCAAATGAGGAGGAGGATGTTCGGACTATAGACTCAGCTGTGGGATCTGGTTCTGTAGCTGAGAGCACATCGCTACACGTAGATGTGCAGTCTGAAGCTTCAGATACCACGGTAAGCAGATGTTTGCTGACTACAGTGCTGGAAATGAAGGTTTCAGTTTCCCATTTTTCAAGATGATACTTCATGAGCATTATGAAAATAGTTACTGAAAAGTGTATACTAGGGAAGAAACCCTCAAATTGTTAATGTTGTGTACAGTCTTTTTAAACATGGAAGTTTAAAAGTTATATTTATTAACATAGAAAATAGTTTTAATGATTGATTTGAAAATCTAGTCATTTCTGATCTTCCACTTACGGAAACGTTGTTTTTCTACTTTGTTTTATTAAGCAGAGCTTTACTAATCTTAAGACACAGGAAAGTTACAATTCGTCAGAGATACACGAGCTATGAGTACAGACTGTCGTCAAAGTTTGCTTAGCATATTATCTGTTGGAAAAAGTCTCCAAGTTCATTTGCCACTGAAGACTCTTTTTAAGTCTATTAGGGTTTTTTGTTTCTCAGGCTTTGGCCTAGGAGTCTGACAGAACCCAGTGACTGAAAAATTGAGATGCAAGACTAGAAAATGAGTGACATAGCATTTGCATGGTGACAGTAAGAAAAATGCTAAAACTTCTGATTCTGCAAAATGAGCTGTATCAAAATACCGTCTTTGAGAAAAATAGCCAGGAATTTATGGAACTTTGGGGAAAAATTTGTAAAATAAACTTAGTTCAGAGAATTTAGAAATAAGATCATGTGTGCTTATAAATATTTTTATTTTAACAGATGTATCTATAACTGCATTAGTAAACTGGAAAAGCTATCACTGGTAAAGCTTTTCTTGTTAAAGGATGACAATGATGTCTTTTTTTTTTTTGAGATAATGTTTCAAACACCATTCAGCATGAGGAATTTGAGGGTTTATTTCCTTTTAGTACTGTATTAACCTGTATGGTTTCTTATCTGCCTCCTTTCTCTTCCCTGCCCTTCCTCATCTGAAGATGAAATTTGAATTTTTTTCTTTGTGTCATTTTTACCAGGAGATACTTGGGGGGCTTGATCTAAACAGTATTTGAAGAATGGATTCAAATTATTTTCCATTTCCACTGATGTGGGGAGTGGTTTCTTTTTCACATTTCGGTTGGGGGATGTGGGTAAAGGAATTCTGTGGGGGAGGGATGGGAAGCGGTATGGTTGGTTATTATAGTTGACATTAGTATCTAAAGTGTTCACCATGACGAGATTTCTTTCGTAATAACGTGAAATTATGACATTAAAAGTGATTAATATGTAGCAGGATGAATGTCACAATATGCTTCAGCAGTCAGTTGCTGTGTAACTGAAATAGTCCAGGATTATTAAACTAAGAAACACTCTAGCCTGCAGAAACTTGAACGTCTAAGTTTACTGCCACTTAGGTAGGTGGATTGATTAAAAACAAAAAGGTAGACTGGTAAATTTTTTGTATTTATTTACAAGACTGGCTGGTATGGTTAACAGGAGTTTGTGTTAAGACGTTAATATGATACACTGTTTAATAAAGGAGGCATCTTTTAGTCTGAGAATTTGCCTGTGCATTGAGGACAGACTAGGGAATTCAGCTTCACAGGAGCAGGTTTCAGACATGGACGTTACTACAAGTCCAAAAGGGAGAGGTGACAGACTCCCTCAGAATGACACAGAACTGAGGCCTGATAGAAAATATAGCCCGAAACATGGATTTCCCTCCAAGGTGTCCTGCACGGTGTTCACTTAGGAAGGCTCTGAATGAGCACCTCTGTTGTGCGTCTTTCCTCTTCCTTGTTTGCTTTTCTGTAGTTGCTTTTGAGCTCATATATATATGTAAACGTGGAGTTATTATACTGTAATTTGCTTTAGAAAAATGCTTTTTGATGTTTTTATTTCTTACTGCTTTCTTACATATCTCTTCGTGGCTTATATGTGGCAGCTGTTCTCAGTTCACATTAACAAAGGATCTGAAACTTGATGTTTTCCTTTTTTGTTTTTGCTTTTGGGGGCTCAAAATCGAACACATTCTTGAACCTTGACCATCAGTCGTTTACTGGGGGAAGCTCGGTGGAGTAGAGGAGAGGAACACTTAAAAGAGTTTTCTGAAATTGGACTTTTAACTTTATGTAACCCAAGGTTTCATGCCTAAGTTGTTTTTGTTTCACTTTATCCATAAACTAAAAATGTAGTTGGTGAAGGTACTCAAAAAGTTTAAATAAAAATGTGTTTGAGGGTGGCTGTAGATCTGGAAATATTTACTACTGTGAGAAGTACCTCTTCCTATTAGTTTGCTTTGTGTTTTGGATTCCTAGTCTTCGCACCGTCCTGTTGGCATATTTTCGTTCCTAGATAGTTTTGTTATTTATCTCATCCTCCTTTCTGTATACCCAGTCGTGGTTTCCTCCCCTACCCCCACTTGCCCCTGGCTTAGCTTTGGTGAGTAGAAGTCTGAAATGTTCTATATACGGATGCTGCATTGACAGTTATCCCCCCATCCTCCCCCCAAATTTTTAAGATAGAAACGGTCTTGAAAGAAGCGAGAACTGACAAGAGAAAATTTGACAGGAATGAATATAAATGTTAACAAGGCAACTTCACTTTGTAGGATGGGAGAGAAATGAGTAAACAGTAGTTAATTTGGAAGGGGGCCTTAGGTTATTAGAAACGCAGAACAACAGAAAACCCTCCAATAAAGAGTGGCTTAACTGAGATAGGGTATATCAGGTAGTTTAGAGGCAGTCCAAAGTAGATGGACACCAACCAGGCTCCTCTTTTGCACATCGCATGTTCTAACCATAGTATTCTACTTCCTATTTATTTGATCTGACTTCCTTTGAGAACTTAATTCTGTGCCATGTGATTAGTTGTTCAGTTATTAATTTTATTTATTGCCAGGTCACATTGGAAGACGTTACCACAGTTACTCATTCATGATACTGATGAGTTTTACTTGGAGAGGTAGAGAGAAGAGAGGTGATTTTTGCATAGCATAGGTGAGGGATGTCATCCAGAGGAAATTTCACTTAACCACCCATGTGCTCTGTAATTTGTCCAGGAGTCAAATGAGCATAGGGAAAGATCAGTGTGTTTCTACTTCCAAAAGAAATCATTGAACTTCTTTGTTCTTCTTAGTAATTTTGGGGGAGAATCATTCATTTTAAATCTACATAACCCTAACTGAAATTTAATGGTAATGGAAATTTAAAACTGACCAAGTGCAACAAATGTGCAAGATTGAGTTAAACCTCATTTTATTATAAAATTTATTTATAAAGATATTAGGTAATAGCATTGAACTTTTAAAATGTAAGATTTTTGAAAAGATAAATCAGTGATGAAAAATACCATTATGATGTACATTTAATCCATAATCTGGATTACAGTTTTTTGTTTTGGAGTTTTATTAAAATTTATCCTTTTACTTAATCGACTTTTCTTTTTCTCGTTTGATTACATTTTGAATTGTTTGAAGATTAACATTTAAAAGTTGATAGTTTTTTATAACAGTTATTTAATCTATTCCTCTACTTTCATGCAAGATGATAACCTCCTAACTTTGATTGGGTATTTGGAAGGATTTACTTCTATTTTATGGCCTCAGACGCAGCTGGGTGGGCACATTCAAGAGGAAAGATAGTAATGACATCTTTGATACAAAGTATAAAAGTTTCCACTTTATCATATGCTTATATAATGTGACGCAATTACATTAAAACCTATCCACGTGAGACTGTCAAATGAAACATGTATTTTTAGAATGACTGTCCTTGGTTAGAAATAATAAGAATGTACCTGAAAGTGGATTTGTTTGTTCTCTGGGGTTTTGTGTGTGTGTGTATTTTTAGACATCACTTCTAGGAGTGAGGCAGGGCATTTCTTAGTCTTTCTCAGAGAGACTTGCAGGGCATTAACATGGTATAATGTGCTCCCACTTTTCTGTAGGGCCTGGGCCCCTTATTGCTTTTTGTGTGTGTGTGTGTCTGTGTGGAGGTGTGTCTGTGTGTGGGTGTGTCTGTGTGTGTGTGTGTGTGTGT